TCAGGCTCTTCCCCATGTCCCACAGCAGCCTCCTCCCACATACACTTTCCTTCTGACTTAAAAAAAGCACTTTCATAGCTGGCCCTGCGCTGCCCTGGTTGTTCCTGCATAGAGGAGTAAGATGTGGAAGTACCTAGCTACCCCCCTTCTTCTCCCAGCCCTCACTTGAGGAAAAAATAGTATATTTTTTAATCAATGATAATTTGTGAAACCAGATAAGGGTGTTGCATCCTTGCCTGCAGCCTTTGGAAGCCTGTGGACAGTCGTTCTTCAGCTTCACCCCTGCTGTGTCTGTCCAGCCGTGGCTGTGATCAGCTCACTCTGGGCTAAAGTTACACTAGATTTTTACTATTATTTTTAATCACTGCATTTCAAGCAATCACTTTAGACAGATAATTTTTTTACTCAAGGAATATAGCAAATCTTATAAGGGAACAAAAGCCTGAGAAACCTGCTGGCTCTTTATAAAGTGTGTAGTTTATGTGATCCATGCTACACAAATTTAAGAATGACATTTGTAGTACGTTTGATATAACATGATTGAAAATTTTGTCTGCTTTACCTCAATAAATTCAAAGATGTGCTCAGTTAACAGCAAGTATATGACTTCTTTGCATGTATGGATAAAGCTTTTAAATGGGTTATTGGGCTTAATTTCATAAAGCTGTAACAGTATGCATCCTCTTTGTTTCCATGAGGTGTGACTAGAAGCTTTTTTATTCAACTCATACTACACATTTTGCCCATAAATGAGAACTGGTTTTTCTGCCTTAACTTCCCCATTCGAACCGTGCTGTCGTGCTTCACCATGCTATGCTGAATCATTTTCAAATATTGTTATGGAAAATAATTAGCAAGGAGGTAGCTCAGTGGCAAGAACAACAGGAAAGGGGAAGAACATGCAGAGGAAGAACTTGGCCAAGGAAAAGCTCCCCTTTTTTATATCTAAGCAGAGCAATTGAAAAGCATTTGATACAAACTTTATATAAAGATCTGCTGCTTGGAAAAGAGAGACTGTATTTGCACAGGTTATACAAACACATCCCCAGCCTTGTTTTTGTTCTATCTTTGTTAAAGTATCTGCCATTAAAGTTAGCAGCCCCCCCCAGCCTCTGGGGCACTTCTTCTTCTGGATTAAGAGGGGCAGAGGCGATAGTCCCTTGTGCTGTGCATCAGAATTTGAGCCTGGGCAGTAACTTCCCTGCCAACATTATATCAGGAAACATCTACTTGTAACTGATGGTATTTTGTGTGAACCCCAGAGTGGCTGCAAGGGCAATAGTCCCCCACTTCACAAGCCTTTTCTGAACTGCTTGCTTAGTCATCTGTGCTGAGACCATGCACACCATCAGCTCAGTTACCTCTACAGCTTCTTCAGTGTTAGCTGTTTCTTGCAGCTCAGTTCTGTTGGACTTCACTACTGTCAGAGCTGCTCCTGCAGTATTTGTCACAACATCAAGCAGGCTGAACCAAAAAGTTGTTTAGAAAGTCTTTGCTACAGGGGGGTCAAGGTTTTGGGACCGGTTAAAAGAATTGTTAAAGACACATCTGGTTGAGCCTGTTGGAGCTGGAAAGCTGTAACAAAACCTACCGTGATGGTGTGTGGTAGGTATGGGAGACTGCTGTGAAGTACAGCTGTCACCCTAGGCTCCTGCCACACAACCACAAACCCTCTAGAGCTACAGTTTTGTTGAAGAAAGTGTATCACAGCATCAGTGGTACCATGTCCAACTATTGTAGCAGGTACATTGGTTGTGAGTCTTCTTTTGTTTGTTTGTTTGCTTGCAAATCAAGACCACAGTTACTAACCCAGGGTGAAACGGTTTTTTTAAACAAGTTTTCAACCTGTGTTTTACTGACAAAGGCATGCATGTAGAGCTTTTCAAATACAAAATAAAGGCCTCAGTCAGTGGCAGAAGCTTCTTTAACCCCTTTGTATGCATAGCTCCTGACCCAGAGACCTTTCAAGAGGACACTGTGCCTACCTGTGTACAGCAGCCACGCAGTCTCACAGGCCACGACAACACTGGGCATCGGTGAATGGGCTTCTTCCAGGGCCTCTAGTCTTTCTCCTGAAAAATGCCATCGCGTTTGTCTTGCAGACTCCCACCTGCAGCGGCCTTGTCTTTGAGATGTAAGAACCTGAAGAGCAGCTGTGCTAGAGGGCTGCACATTCACAGCTTTCACTTCTTCAGAGCTGTCACCAACGTAGCGCCTTTTTTTTTACAAAGGCTTGATTGTGCCAGGAAGCAAAAAAAAAGCCCCAGAGCCTTGCAGGGGCTAGGAAACTGTGCTCATGCCATTCCGTTTCACAGGTGCCTCAAAACACTCTCCATCTTAATACTTGAAGGGTTGTGGGCGGGGTGGAGGGAGGAGACATGATTAACAGGGCTGCTGACCAGCTGACTGCTAGGATTGCATCTGGCCTATGCTTCATTGTAAGCAAACTAGCTGGTTGGCACCCCAGCTCACAGGGGTAGACTGGAAAAAAGTTATATTCAGAGGTAAAATGCAACAACTTGCTAATTTTTTTTTTTAATAAAATTTTATAGTGGTGCTGCTCATAACTCATTCTGTGATGCTATTCTCTAAACTCCTTCTGTGTCTTGAAACATGAGAAGTAGTTATTCCCTCAGTTTAAAGACAGGAACCAAAAGACACCCAGAAGTCAAGAGCAGCAGTATGTGTTCATGAATAGCCCTTATCATGCCGTGCCTAAAAGAAGGTAAAGTTACTGGATTCAACACAGAATATGACCTTAGGAAATGCATTTTTAGCCTTTTCTGAACAAGCTTGCTCTGCACCTACTGAACTCTGAAAGCCATTAATCAGATTATACTATAAGGTTAGTGAATGAGGCAGATAGGATACGGCAGGGCAGTCACGAACCTGCTTTTGGCCAGTCCAGAAATGCATGAAAAAACATCAGCAGTGACAAATCAAAGTGTTACTATCACACATAGGCTATTCCAGACAAAACCAGGGCCCACACTGGCAGTCTCAGGTGGTGCTAGGATTGCCAGAAAAAAAGCAACTATGGTTTCTGCTCAGGATCACTAGGAATGAAAAAAACTTCTTTCCAAAATTCTCTTGGTTATCATGAAAACAGACTCTGATTTGGTCTCACCTGGAAGCTGGCTTCTTGCGGCAACATCTGGAACCTTAATTCAGTTCCCTGGTTTAGAAGCACAGAAGAAAGGACGACACTGAGCACATGTATTAAGTGGCCAGTTCACTAGGTCTGCTTAGTTGCGCCGTAAGTTACACACAGAGATAAACTGCACACTAACAAGCAAAAAGTGAGAGAATGCACATTTTATTTTCAAATATGGCAAAACTCAATGATTCAGGAACTCTACAGGCAAACAAAAGTGAGAGAGATCTTAAAAAGTGGTAAAATCTTCCCCTTTTAATGCATTACTGACGCATGTTTTCATTCAGTTCTAAGACAGTAATGTTAATAAAATTTCCTAGTTTTAGGTATTTCCCTGTCCTGTTGGTAACTCGCAAACTTTGAGTAGTACATGTGCTTGATGGATTTGTATCAAAGATGCAAATAACTGGAAGGCTATTTGTGTTACTGTAAAGCTTATCTGAAAGCAAAAATTACTGTGCCTCTGTCCTCAGCTGGTAACAGCTGGACTGCCTGAATAAGACAGCTTTGTACAGAGGGTCTTCAGTTCGATTAATTTACAAACTCTGTATTAAAATCAAGTAGAAACTCTCAGAGAGTTTCTGTATTTTCTTTCTGAGACAATAAAAAGCATGTAACTTAATAAAAAAGGCCTTGACCTAGCCCCTTTTTTTTTTTCTTTTTGTACACCACTGCCAAAGACAAAGTAAGTGTATCAAAAAACAGACCCAGGGAAGCAGTATCCAGGATTACCCACAGCAACTTCAAAACACAGAGAGGAACTGCACTTGTCAGTGAGCTCTCAGCACGTTGCCCAACACAGTGTGGGCAACAAAACACGTACACGAAATGTCTTAGGACCGCAGTTCTATCACTGGCCTCCAGAGAATGTAACTGGTCTCTTCCAGTCATGTCATATTTCTGGAAAAACGAAAATTAATTCATACAAGTAGGACAGAAAATATCAGTGCTTCTTGGGATGTTTCTCCTGTTCTATAGCATTTGCTGAGCAAATGTTCACATCAAGGAAATACATGGCCATGTTCACTTGAAAGCCTGGCTCGTTGTGAGACAGGCTTTATGTCCTTTCAGCCAGTGGTTGCTGGCAAACCACCGAGTTGTAGTACCTGCTTATTCACAGGTTGTGACTTTCACAGTTTCACTGGAGCTCTGTTTTTGTATTGGTCACAGAGCAAGTTACTGCAGATCAGCAAAATAATTTGATCCAACAATTTTCTGATCCAAGCAGTAGCTGCTGTCGTACAGATGAAATTTGGCCACTTGAGAACTTACGACATGGATTTAAAATAAGCTTTTTACTTTTTTGTTTTACGATTTTAAACTCGAAACTAGAATCAGCATTAACAAGCAGCACTTTGAAAACTAAGTCATTCTAACATACACTTGTTTAGAGTGATGGCAGACAAGAGGATCAAGAGCAGCTGTATTCTGCACTAAAAAGAATCTTTGACTACTAAAAACCTAAGACTTTGCTTAAAAACTACTTCACTGTTAATTTTCCTCTTAACTGAACTGTTTGCAAAGAGTAAAATAAGTACTCTATTTCTAAGACAATACCTTTACAATTATTTGCACACAGAAGTTGTAACACTCTATTTCCCGTCCCATGATTCTAATTTTTCTGCTATGGTTATCCAAGTGTCTATGCTTCATTTAAGAGAGGAAGAGGAGAAGACAAGGCAATTGGTCTCAACAAATCTAACATCTGTTTTGCCAGCCCTCCTCAATACAGAAATTCTTTGGATTAACATTCCAAGGGATTGTATTAAAAAGAAAGAAGTCGCCAAGTATGAGAACACCTGCAATACAGAAAATAAGATGAGGGATAGAAACAGCTCTGATCCCTCTAAGACACAATACATTTTTTTTCTTCCTCTGCATACTCTATTAGATACTCTGGGTAAATCTGGTATTTTTCAAAGACAACAAAAATTAAGGGATTTAACTCATTGTCCACACAGCTGTCATAAAACCGAAGGCCGTCAACAGACTTTGCCGGGGGGCGAACATAGGCTGCGTTGCCTTTAACATACTCCCCAACCAGCACACGGGCCACGAACATGATGTTTGTCCTCACCGCCGGCTGACAGTACGCATGGGAATAGGAAGCATCTCTAGCGAAGTAAGATCCTAGAAAATGATATGAAAACATGGTTATAAGGAATGTGTATAAAGTGACAGTGAAAACTGAGCATCCCCTTGTTTTTAGGAGGTATTTGACAAATTTCAGGTCTCCTCTTACTCAGTTTACATAGTTCCACAGAAATTTTTACAAGAAAGGATTTCACCACAGAATTTCCATTCAGAATTTGCTATTTTAGGTATTTTTTTAAAAACCCAAAACATAAAGAACTACTAAAGTTATGTGTGATATGATGGCTAAGAAAACATGAGGACCTTACACAATCTTACTGAGGGAATGCACACCCTTCTTGCTCCCTGCCATGAAGACTACTGGCCATTTCTCTGGCCAGTTCAAATTATGACCTGGAGCCTTCAGAAGATCCCACCTACAGGAACAGAAGCTTTTTCACATCCCTATATTATTTTTTTAAACACTTTGTGAAAAGACTTAGCCCTGCACAAAGCAAATCCTTGTCTTCTCCAGAAGGAAGGAAGATCATAATACCAATTCCTACCTTGTTTTTTCTCCCTCTATAGTTGAAGACTTCAAAAATTTGATTGCTCTGGTATCAAAGGAGTCTAAGTAGATGCTTAACACACAGAGTCACTTCCTACATACCCTTTCCATAGTTAGTTCCATTGCTTCCACAAATTCTCCAGTCGAAGTTGTGAACACAGATGGCTTCCACGAAGTTGATCTTGGTTCCGTGAAACAGGAGCTTTTCATTTACTTCCTTCCCTCCGTTTTCCCTTTTCATTTGCTCTTTTTGCCTAACACAAAAACGCAGGGGAGGAGAGTGTGAGCCATGGAAGAAAAGGGAGAAAGGGGTTATAATGTACATGTAAATATCAGCTGGATGAGATATCCAGTCTGCTTTCTCCTCTCTTAGCTTGGAAGATGAGACCGACTAGAAGTATGATGAAAAATTAGAAGATGAGCAATACACTGATACCACTGCTCAGCAATTCTAGATAATTCTGGCTTTCTTCAGTGAATTCAAGCAAGCATTGACACTATTGCAGTCCTCACTGTACCAACCTTTTGCTCCTCTGTAGGGTCCTACTAGTTCTGCTTTAATGTCTCTTGTCCCTTCCCATGCCCGAACTCTCTGCAGAGCAGGGGTGGTACTAACCACAGAGCCTCCAAGCTCCAGCAGTGGGTAAAAGCTACAGGCAGCTTCTTCTTCATTCCCCTAGCGAACTCAAACTGCCATCCATACACCCTGGGCTCCTGCCCCTCAGTGAGATCAGTGCAGCTGAGGAGACAGAGCCAGAAGGAGAGAAACTGAGCCTTCTTTTACCACTGAAGACCTTACTGATTTAGGCCAGAGTCAGACTGAGCTATGACCTGTCTCAAAAGAGGAATCAAAATGGACAGCTCAACTAGTATATCCCATCACTATTTCACAGCATCCAGATGTCCCACAGGTTTTCAGAAGCTGATGAAGTGGACAACACAGTAATATTCTTCAGGAGATGATCAGAAAGTCAACAGGGCCAGGGAGAGAGGAGAATCCTTCCAACTTGTAAACTGTGTAAATGAAAATTTAAGAGCAATGGACTGAAATTTGTTCATCGAGAACTTGTCAGTGTTAAACTCTGCCAGGTTTGCTTAATTATCTCTCTGGAGGAGGATAAAAAGTATGTACTATTACATATTTTGAAGTGTCTTAAAGTTTTGCTAGATGACAAGGTTTTAGATGTTATTAGCTGGTAACTTCCTGGGTTCAGTCGTTCTGCATGTGGAAGTACTTACTTGAACAGGATTTTTCTTTTCCTTTACCATTCCATATGGTCCATGAACACTTCCATGAAGTATCTGTGCTTTTGTTTTAAACTAGACAACTGTTCTACACAACAGCTTAATCTGCTACCAAATTCACCTGCACATGGTTGTTTATTGTCACTATCACCAGCTCAAATCTGTTGGTATCCAGTTTGGCGTAAGTACCTGGAGTTCAGTATCACTGATGGAGATGTTGAAAACTGGAAAGGAGCTCTGGAACTCTGAGACCATTACGTTAAAGCACAAGGGTTCTTTCTCACTGAATACTGGCTGCATTCAGCAAAAGAACTCTTAAAGAAGCCTTAAATAAATCTGACTGGAAAAAACCAAACAGAAAGGGCTCAAGCACCAAGCACCCTTACCCTTGCCCACATCTTTTTTAGGAAGTATTTAATATACTGTAATGGATAAACACCTGTAACATACAGAACACGCGTGCAGCAGGCAGTTACTGTTCAATCCCTGAGACAATACACTATTCCACATCACTGTGGGTATCCTCATGCCAGGTCTGAGTCATTCATGTCCCCTCCCTGCATCTGCCACGGAGCCATGCAAAAGGAACCTCCACCCAGGAGCATGGTGTTCTCTGGAAGGCCTTAGACACTGAATTTCACCCCTGAAACTGCCCCTAGGAAGGAAATACCAGTCACGTTACAGCACAGGTGGTAACGTCTTTTCTTTCCCAGGAAGTAGATACAGGACACCAGCCCCTGGAGATTCCCTCCCCATAAGGATGAGGAAACAGATACCAACCACTGAAACACTTTCCAGAGGGATGGATTCTGAATCCTCCGTATTTTAAGAACAGTGTAGTTTTTCATAGTCTGATGAAACAGCTGCTTTATTTTGTTGTATTCAGCAGTCGTATTACTGATCTCCACTGCCTGTAAAATATAAACCAAAGCAAAAGAAGACATGAGGCTTCAGTTAGCTCGTAACACACAGAAGTCTAATTACAGCAGATATACTTTCAGAAGGGTCCCCAAACTATACTTACGAAGGTTAAATTAATGCTTTAGATCGTGACTATGTGAATAATTAGACAGACACTTAATATGTAAATCAGTATGTCACTCCTGCTTTGCACAGACACCTCACCTCTCTTCAGGAAGGATGCTGAAAGTGAAAGGAGCAATTAAATGCTTATCTCCAAGGAAGAGTTCACATTTATAACTTTAAATCTCAATGAAAGAGTAATTTCAAAAAGAAAACCTGACTGAGTATTCCAGATAATATTAGTTTTATATATAAAGCTGATGAAGAACAAAAGATGTTAGATAACAGTATCATTTGTAACCAGACATTTAAGGGAGCTTCAGCTATTAAAGATGAAACAAAGAAAATACATACAACCTCCCAGCATCCTGGCTCCTTAACTGTTCAAAGTTAAAACTTGGACATTTTCACTTAAAGATAGATTTAAGGAAGAAAGCTACATTTCTAAGCATGAGAGAACAATTAAGATTCTAATAGGAATGTTACACTAAATACCTGCTTAAGCAAATACATCTCCTCCTTTCCTACAAGAAACAAAGTCTACTTATCCACACTTTCTGCGTGTAAAAACCCATCAAGAAACGCACATTTTTCCCAAAGAGAAGTTAAGGCAAAACATAATTAAAACATGCTCTTCTGCTTGCTTATGTCATGCGTGAATTTTCCATTTTTTTCTCCAAAGTAATGTGTGTCTTTAATCTTTTAGAATAAACACTTATCTTCCATAAACCTGACTGAAAATGCATAATGCTGGCAGATTGATGCCACTGGGTAATACTTTCCACTTTACTGCTGCCTAAGCCAAGTGGAGACTCAAGATGACTTAAAGTGAAATGCCCAACATTCCACATATCGAAGTTGTGTTCTAAGCAGGAACATCCTAGGAGGTAATATGAAAACGACATCTTAGCCTGTCCGGCAAAAGCTCCATGTTTTAGAAGGCTGAGTTTGGAGAGGAGATAAAATCTGTTTTATATTTCACAGCTGCATATAAAAAAACCAAGTGTTTTTTCTGGACACCATGTCCAGTTTGTGCATTAAGTACTTACTGACGAAGAAGCCTATCATAGGAAAGTCTTCTAAGGATTAAGAATAAAGTCAGCTGCACAAGGAAGAATTATTTCTTTGAATTTATTAAAAAGCTTTTACAAGGTTGAATTAAATTTTCCATGTTGTAATACAAGAGTATTTTCCAAAGCTTCTTTACAACACAACACATAAAACAATTTGGATGGGTGAGCATTTATTATCTGCGTGTTCTATGACACCACAGCTCAAGTTGCTCACCATCACCTACAAGATGAAAGTTATGTCACTATATTTCAGTACTATATATTTTATTGATACATAAACAATTCTTATTTAGACTACAAATATGCTTTTGCTATGTTACATCTTTTACTGCGGAACCGTAACGGTCCCAGGTAAAACAGAGAGGATCAGTCAGGTGGCACGAGGCCAAATCCTGTAAGAAAGGTACTTCAATTATTTTATCATATGATGGCCTCCAAGCAGCAAAGCCAGTTCTCCTCTGCACGAAAATTCTGTAGAATTGGCTTTATTTCCCCAAGGACGTTTCCCCTGCTAATAAAGGGTAACACCACATCGCTATTGCAGGTTGATACTTCGTAACGACGTAACCTCTTTAGCTCATCATCCTTAGGTCATCTTCAGAGCTGAAAAGGAAAATCCTGGAGAGCGTAAGCATTTGCTAACCCACTATCAAGGACTGGAGTTTCTGAGGCAGAGAAAGAATCACTTCCCTGACGATGATTTCTATTAGCTGTGACTGTACAAGATTAGCGTTCTGTGATATCAAACCTTGATCTCTGGTTAACTTAGGTTTTGGAAGCAGCACAGTTTGTATTAGTGACAGTGACCCAACTGGAACTAACATCTATAAAGTGCACAGACAGACTCTTCACATTGCATCAGCTCCCATTCCTGTTACAGCACAGCAATCTTTGGCATGCGTGTCAGGATTCAGCAACATCGCAGCCACACAAAGACCAATCCTCTGAAATAAAACCACACATTCATTGCACACATTTCTCAGTTGGACATTAAAGATACAATTTAAAACCCAGCATGAAGTTCCAAGACAATATAATTTTTTTTTTTTTTTTGCCTTTAAAAGGTTTACCAACTACTAATTCCAGTTTGTCTGTTAAATAAAGTAAATAAAGACAGAAGAAATTCACACCAGCTTTCCAATTGGCATTGCCAATTTCCATTGTGCATATCATACACTCTACCTTCTACAGAACTATGACTCTCAATGACTTACAGATTAAGACACTGCAACACACAAAAAATAAGCAATGTTACCAAAACAGAGCTGCTCCTTTTAAGCAAGGATGACTTTCTCCCTATCTATCTCATATAGGTGTTCCTTTCTACTTCCAGCGCAGCAAATTGTGCCAGGATTATTTGTCAATGTCTGAAGAGAAGGGAATTCATCAAGTCGTAACTGTCAGATCTTACGATGGTCACCACAAGCACGCAGAGTCCCAGCCAGTGCCAATATTACCTTCTGCAAAAAAACAAGCTTAGGGTCCCACAGAAATATTTAATCTAGCCCATGCTTTGACTTTTAGCACTAACAGGTCCTGTGGGCTTTGGGTACAGAATTAACTTTTCCTTTCCTATGAAAGACACCCAGTTTACAGGTTAAGAGATGGTTTTCTTAGGTGTCAACTCAGCAAGCAAACTGAGCTCTGGGAAACAAGGTGGTCCTTCTATTTAATGGATCTCCACGAGCAGCACCAGCAATACCATGGATCTGCACACTGCATTGCAAAGCCTCTCACACTCACCTCAGTGACTCCAGAAACACCCCAACAAATGCACTCAACTAAAGTTCAGTCTGATTTTTTCAGAGTAAGGGAAGCAGTTAAGTACATACAACTTGAAGACCTAAAAGGAACTGAGCTACTTCTCTTCCTGGAACTCTTTTGAAAAAGTCAAGCTTATGTTAATCGATTAAGCTGCTGCTAAGCCAAGGGAAGAGCTGATTAGCTTTATTATTTTGACAGAGCTCAAAATATCACAGGCCCAAATCTTCAAAAGGTCTGTCTGCCAGATTCCCACACAAACTCATTATTAGTTCATTCAGCAGGTGCTGGACACCTGACACTTTTACAATCTTGAAAACTAGGGGGTTTTTGGTAATTGTGAAAAACAGCTATTTGAAAGGAGCTCATGTACAGAGCAGTTGACTTAAATTTTGCTCATTGATTTTTTATCAGAACTGTATTTAAAGATGGATTTGCTATATACACACGTGGCCAGATATGGCTATTACACTGAGGGAGGTATAATCCAAAATCCAACACAAGAGGGTAGTCAGGGTAAAATGAAACATTTGGCACAAAGCAGAATCACAGAAACTAGTTCATAGAAGCTAAGAGACATGATATTTCTGGTTCTTATGCCACTGCCAATGTAACTACACTAGGGAAAATAAAACACACAGAGTGAGAATAGCAATGGAGCTCTCTGTCAACCCAAGGTAGCCAGAAAAAATTCTGGAAATATGATATTACTTCTGTCCTGTCCCTAGCCATCAAGGTATCCATGCCAATACAACATGGTCAGCATCATACAAGATTTTGTGACACAGTCAATGAGGAAAGCCTCTTATGCTCCACATTATGTGCTGTTACTTAATCAGGGTCAAAACCACTACAAAAAAAGCACAAGTGTAACACTGAAAAGCCTTTTTTCTAGCATACTGTAGTACTTCCGCTGTCTGTGTTGCTCTTCCAGAAGGACTGCTTCCTAATACCACCAGAACTAGTAATTTAAAAAATACCTACACATTTCTGGTCTTCGTGTTGTCCCAAAATGAGGGTTCTTTTTACCCAATGTGCACTGAGCAAAAAAACACACAGAGTTGAGATATCTGATTAATTAATGTCTGCACAGAAATGGGTGCTAGGTGCTAACTCCACAAAGCTAGCATGGCTTGGGTGGTACACAGCTGACATTTTATTCATTCCAAGCAACAGTTATCAGTACATTTCACAACTACATTTAGTCATCCTAATTCCTGTTGTTTTTTGAGAGGTCTGTCTTCACTTAAAGTCATTCTTTTTCTACCATGCATGCCATGTGGGGAAGGGGCTTTATTGAGTAGGGGGCTTTCCCCACCTGTGGCTGAGTTTTTTACTATGCTAGTTAGGATAATTCACCTGTAGTAGTTCAAATAGTTCCCTTTAATTTATCAGTAGTTTTCATTCTCTTTGGGCTTGTCTTGGTCTTATCTTGGTGTTTCCTTATTTGGCCAATTTATGGCATCATCTTGTTTCTCTCCCTGGGAGAATGTTTTGTTAACTACCCAGAAACCGGTACCAAGTACTGTCCTTTATCTCCTTTCTTGCATTCCTCCAACACTGGTAGACCAAATAGGAACATAGACTTTGGGCTGGCAGGGGTTTGTTTTATTTTCTTTTGTTGAAGAGAACACCGCAAATGTTTTTAGATATTATTGGCTGTAACTCTTTATTTCTGCCATTCCTCGAGGCTGCGGTCTGTGCTTAGATCAGTGATGTACATGACAGTACTCAGTGACTTGGACAAGCATATAGAGATTTCCTTTCCTAGGTCTCCAATCCAGACTTTATCTGCCAACAGCCAAAATGGTATTATTGGATGACTTTTTAATGGCCTACACAGAAAGGGTTTGGTCTCAGCCCAGCTTCTAGTGAAGAAACACACACTTCATAGACGCCTCTTGCTTAACCAGTCCACCAGGTCACCAAGGAAAGCCATTAGTACATTTTAACAGGGAAACTTTTTGTCTTGAATTTGGTGAGTTTTGTTTTTGCAGGTAGATAGACGCCTAAAATGCAGATGAAGTTCATGGGAATTTAGCACCTTTTTCAGGACCTCTTGGGAGATCACCTAGATCTTCAGTACACCCAACCAAGAAAACAGCCCTGTTCTTTTTTAGCATCTAACCAGTTACAATTGCTTCAGTAATCGCAGCATCCTTATTTGAATGGTGCCTTTTCATTACAATTACGGGAAAAAAAATAAAAAATAATTTTAAAACATACCTTGTATCCCAAGTCAGGAAGTGCAGATTGATCCCAGTGGCTAGGACAGGCTTGATTTGGAATAGAAGAATCCCTCTGGCTGCTTGCACAGAAAACAAGGTGTTAGTAATTCTAGTCCTGCTCTGAACATTCAAACTGTCAGCATCCCCTTGGCCAATTCCTACATTTAAAAATAAACAAAATAAACCACAAAGAAACTGGGAAACAGCCTCATTCTGTGAACTGGGCTTTGCATGCTGCCACTCAACTGTCAGAGTCTTCTTTTACTTGCTTCTTTAAGAAACATCTGTCCATCACCAGTCCTGTAGATGTGGTACTTGGAGTAACATGTATTCCAGAAACCAGGTGATGCACCAAACCAGCAGTTTGTGATACAGCTTCTGTTCTGTCAAATGTTTTCTTCTAGCAACAGCTGCATTCTTTACACAATTACTGCCACACTGGCAGCCATTTTGCCTTATAATTACTTCTGAAATATGAAAAAACAACAACTTAAAGAGCATCATTTACCCTTTCTTTATCTTCTGCACATCTTCAGAAGACACGAACTTTGGTCGCCTGCAGACCCGTCTTCGAGTTTTAAAAGAGATGTTTGTCTGGGTCATTTCTTGAGGAGGAAAGAGAAGGAAAAAGAAAAAGTCATGAACAAGTCTGCAAGATGGTGTCATTAATGAATGACAGTTATTCAACCTGTGCCTATCTTGCTTGCTTCCTTAAGTCATTCATCCTCTTTAAACATTGCTTCAGCAGCACAGAAAGATGCTTTATTTTTCATTTTTATCATCCACAGGAATAACTCACTTAAGTTTTACCATGACTTTATGTGAAGACTATGTATCTTTTTATTTCTGGTCCTTTGTGAATCTGGATATTGTCAAGGATAAGGGGGAAAGTTACTTTTGTAAGGAATTTTATATGGGCCATCACTACCTCACTTTTCTTTCGAATGAGTAAAACTGGTAATGTTAGTAAAAGAAAACATAGCTTCTAAAAGCTGGGACAGCTTGCAATTTAGTCTCTGTATAGTTGTAAATGAGAACCTTTAAAATGAGTACCTTTAAAATTGAGCTGGTAATGATGCAAGCCAGCCTGGAAAAGTATGGTGGCATCTGGATCTGCTAGATACGACTGTTCAAGAGTAGCAGAAGATGGCGAGTTCA